GTGTCCTTTAACCAGTGGTTCTCAAAGTGTGGTCCAGGCGCCAGCAGCAGCACCGTCAGTTATGGGAACTTGTTAGGAACGCAACTTCTCAGCCCCTGCCCCCACCCCACCCCGGATCTACCAGGCAGAACCCCTGGGGGTGGGCCCAGCAACCTGCCCTAATAAGCCTTCCGGGCGAGTTGGATGTACACAGAGGTTTAAGAACCTCTACGTTAAGTCAGACTTTTTCAGGCTGATCTTATATTAAAGAGCCCTTGTGGGAGATGTAATCCACAATTTTGACTTTCTTAGCATCAATTTTTTTTTTTTATTTTTAGCTGAAAGAGGAAGACGGTGTAAACAAATACATGGAATCATATTAATATGTCCTCTCCTACAGTAAACTTTCCCTCCCTCAGCCTAAGTATATACTCAGCATGTGAGAGGACGTTAGTACCAGGTGATGATCGCTGGAGTGGGTGTGCGGGGCAGGGGGAGACCAGGTGCCCTTAGGCACCAGCCGTTGGCTGGCATTTGAGCGGAAGAGGGACATGCGAACTGGAGAGAAGGATGGGGCATCTGGCCTCTGGGAGCGCAGACCAGGGACAAGATTGTCAGAAAGCCTGTCACACGGAGGAGGAATTACACTAGCTTCCTTTGGCACCAAGGGATCGAAAGAGCATCAGCGGGTAAACGTTATAAGAGGCCCAGGTGCAGAGCTGAGCGAGAACTCTGAGACCCAGGCAGGTGCAAAGATGGCCTGCGCTGAGGGTGAGGCAGGGAGCCTGCTCAGACAGCCCCGGCCACTAGGCCCAGCTCCCGGACACTGGCCGTGGCCTGCTCCCCGCGGCCCGCTGGGCCAGGCTGAGGGCCTCCCCTCCAGCAGCCCTCCTGTCCAGCGCGACTTCTGAGCCCGTTTCTTCAGCGGCCCTGCCACGGTTGGCTCTTCCCTGTTGTACCCCCGACCAGGAAGCGAGAGACCCAGAGGGACGCTGTTTTGAGGAGACACGTCAACATCATTATAAATTAAAATGCTTTCAGATCTATAGAAAGATTTCTGATATTTGACCCGTTAAAATCCACATTGTGAGCCGTATCCTTACTTCTTCCCCGTCCTGGAGCAGACTTGACGCTGTCTGTGTGGGCAGATCCTGTACTGATCCCAGGCAGCCGAGCCAGCTTTGAGTCAGCTACACCATGACAGCAACAGATGCTGCACAAAGGGAAAGTAACTGTTCAGACCTTTAACGTGCACACTGAGCTATACATCTGGGAGGCTTGAATTGTGGCAAGGGTTTTACTAACCTGAAAATGGTTTTCATTTAGTGCAATGAATGCAAACTCGGTTCTTCTGTGTTTGGGCTGGCACACATGATGAAGAGTAAATATATATGTGTGTGTGGCATTGCAGCCACAAGACACAGGTATGTATCACTTGACAATAAATACTAGATGACAGATTGTGTGACAGAATGACACCGTGCCCACAAAGAGAGGAAATACCATGCAAAGTTCAAATTTTGTAGGTAAACACTGGCAAAGTGCTGCAGTAAATTGCCATTTTCTTCACATTAGTCACGGTGCAAAGGGAGACTTTTTAAAGGAAAGAGTAATCTCTGGAATTTAGCATAAAGACTCTAGTTAGTTTCAGGCCCTTTGCATGATGTCCTTTCTTTGTGAGGCACCAACAAAAAGCAAACAAACTTCATCCATTTTTACTTCCTTCACTTCAAAGGAAGATTGACTCCTTCGGAGATTCCTAGCACAGAACAAGAGGAAGAAGTTAGGAAGCTAATCAACATTTCTGCTCACTGTATTCGAAGTCGTATTGTTTCTAATTCGGGGTTGCATCTGCTGTTTCTTTTTGTTTTGTGTTACTTCTTAATATATCATAGTAACATGTTCCCTTTCACCAGCTAGCAGCGTACTTGAATGCTTCATTTTGTTTGGTCCCTGAGAACATTATTCTACTTCTATCTAGTAATGTGGATAAGAATTAAATCCTAACATTTTGAAATTTATCAATGTGTATTTAATGGTTTTAGTTATTGAGAGAATGTAGGGGGAAAAAACATTTATTCAGATACAGGAAATGAAGTATCAAATTGATTTTTGAAGTAGCACTGCAGAGAACCTTTTATGGTAAAATTTCCAGGAATGGAAACATCTGAATTTTTTATCTGAGATCACAATTACATGTATACTTACAGAAGTAATTCTAGTCTTAGAACAGTGACAGTTAATAAAATGCTTATTATGTTGAACGATTAATGGGAAAAGCTGGATTGCTTCCAAGTGTAATCAAGTCACCATAACTTGTAATCATAGCACATGTCTGGAGCTTTTGTGACTTCTAAGAATAATAAATATATTCATATCAAATCAATGAAACACATTGATTTGGTGCCAGGATAAAACTTGTGTAGTATCTCTCTGTCTTTTGTCATTTAAACTTACCATTTTCATGTCTCCTTATTCCTCATTTCTTTTGTACCCACGTACTTCTTAGACAGCATTGATAAAGGAACTAGGGAAAAGAGGATCTTCAAACAGAGCAATATGCAAGGTGACCTGGCACCCAGGCTTTATCTAATCGGCTTTATTGAGGAGTGAAAGATCAGTCTTAACAGACAGTGTATGAAGACAAGGCTGCTTGCTACAGCAGGGGATTTTTTGATATAGTACCTAATTCCTTTGTCAAAAGAAAACTCAATTTTCCTGGGCAGTTTATGATATAAGACAGAATTAGAGCACAATTCTCAGAGTGTCATTTTTGGACTCAGACTGAGTTCAGATTGACTCCAGTTTCATTCAGCAAATATGGCACATTGCCCTATTTGGGCACGTCTTTCACGGGTTTGAGATTCATTTCTCTCGTCTCACATATATTGAGGCTTCCCCATTTGTCAGGCACTTTACAGTTTAATTCTCCTTTAAGCTTTCTAATTCCTAACCCCCACACACACACCTTTTAAAAATAGATTGTGAGCAGAGACTTTTAAGGTTAATAACCTGCCCTAGGTTACTTCTACAAGTGGCAAAACAAGGATTTTAGGCAGGGTCTGTTTGATGCCAAATCTCAAGCTCTTAACCTGACCCAGTGGTTCCCAAATTCTCCAGAATTACTCAGAGTGCTTGATTAAATATGTATTGCTGGGCCCTGGCATTTCTGATGCTATAGGCCCACTAAAGGGCCCCCAACTTGGTTAGTTCTGTGCAGCTCCTAGATGTTGGTGCTGCTGGTCGCAAGGACTGTGCTGTGAGAACCATCGCATGCCCTGTGCTGTGCTGCCCACTCCAGTCCTCTGAAGGGGAAATGAGAGAATTCATGGGTCATGCTCGTATTAACCATCACCACCATTTACCATGCGCTGGACACTCTTCTAAATTAATCCCTTTTTATCCTCATATTAGTCTTGGGAGGTAGGTAGATTGCACAGAAAGGACCTGGGGAAGGCTCACCACTTAAAACAGTAGAGAGAGGCGCCCAGAATGGTGGCATCACAGTGAGTCAGTGGCAGAGCCAGTTGCCATTATTACATCTGTGAGCTGACCGGGTTTCAAAGGCCTCTATCCTGGGAGCCATATCCAGAAGCAGATTTCATGCTAAGGGAAGATAAGGGAAAAGGAGACCCTTGCTTCCTTCCATCTGCTGGGGTTTTATGTCCATTGGAGGCGGTTGAGGCTGGGGAAGAAGGGTCTCTCCCTCCCGGTGTTCGGCGGGGAGGGCAACGCAGGTGTTATCCTGTAGGATGGCACAATTCTGGAAGTGACTTGTGTCGCGACCCTTCAGGGACCGAAGCAACACACCCAAGGTCTTGATTCTTCTCTAGGCTTTATTGTCTAATCTCTCGTGGTGGTTACAGCAGTTGTCGGGCAGCTCTTCTCCCTCCCGGCAGGCTCCCTTATATTCAGTCACCCAACCAATCCGGGACAGTATCATGCATGACCTTTAAGTGGATAGGTGTCACGCGCCACTCTAAGCGGGCAGCATGAGCTGTGCATGGGTACGGAAGTCTGCTGGGCCAATCCCCAACAGGGAAGAGGGGAAAGGGTGGTGAGCAGGAAATGGGCGCCATCTTTAGGGCGTTGTCCAGCTAGAGTGGGGCTCAGCCTCGGCTGTAGGCCGGGCCCCCACAACTTGCATTTCAGCTGAGCTGTGAGACTGTTAGCTTTCCTTAGCATGGATGACAGGGACCTTGGGCAATGTCGTGTGCTGGTGGCGCCCGTGCATTAGGTTAGAAGGTGTGTCCCCTGACGCCGGCCACCCTGGAGTAGAGCGTTCGCTGACCTGTCAAGTTAGCCTGCCTGTGGTTGCTCTGATGGCCGAGGAAGATCTCCAAAACAAAAATGAAGGAACCGAGAGAAAAATCAACCCATAACTAAGTCTGAAACCTGTACTCTGCTTAGGAAACTAGTTTCCCCATTAGTTTTAAAACTTAAAGAGAAAATACAAGGCTGCTTCAAAAGGTGAGATCTCTTTGATATATAAATACATTGTGTGTTTGGGAGATCTCCCAATCTTAAAAATTTTGGTGACTGTTACATACAAGTACCTATGAAAATGAGATATATTTGTCCCTCCTGGCAAGGAAGACTCACGGTGGACCTTACAATCGAGTGTTTAGTTAATGTACTAAGATTACCCGAGGCTGGCGTTATGCAGCCTCACGGATACACCTCCTCTTAAAGGTACTGATAGTGCCAGTGTTTCTCTGCATACTGTCAGCCTGATGTCCTCCCTGACTTAAGGTGGCCTTATTTATTATATAGACTTATTTCCCAGGCTTAAGCTGTGAACCTTTGAAAGGGTATTAGGACCTTGTTACTTTTTCAGTCATCACCTTTATCATTTATTCTAGTTTTTCCGCTTTAGGATTTCAAACACCGTAGTGCAAACTCCAGAAAGAATCAAGACCAAAAAGGAAATGCAGCCTAGACACTTGTGGTTGGGGTGTTGGATTTTGACAGATGCGGTTTGATGGAAAGAATCACCAGGGATTTATTCTGGTTTGTTACAGGTTAACGAAGCCCCTGTCCTTCGCTGACTGTGTTGGGGACGAGCTGCCGTGGGGATGGGAAGCAGGGTTTGACCCTCAGATCGGTGTCTACTACATCGATCACATCAACAGTAAGTTTTCCTTTTTGGTAAAAGCAAACATGTCAGAAAAGTAATCTCCCCAGATCTGGAGTCATACAAAAGAAAAACATTTTACAAAGTTGATTTCTCTGTTTCAAACCCCACTTTCTCAACGACTGGTATTTAACTGAGAAGCCCATTTTGGACTCTGGGGCTGTGTGCGGAGTTGGGCTTCTGGGGGCAGAGAGAAAGGAGCCCTGGTCTGTCGGTGTGTCTGCCTGTCTGGGAGGGAAGGGGTTTTCTTCAGTGTGGGTATGGGGGCCTGCGGAGACCATGAGCCATTTGGCTCCTCTTCCCGTGACCACTGCACCTTCAGATCACGTTCCTCTTGGCCTTGCTGCGAAAAGGGGTGGGCATAGGGGCCCTCGGGTCTCATGGCACAGTGGGGTCAAGGGAGGGACTGACCCTTGTCAGGAGCTCTGGAAGGTGCAGCTGTAGCTGTGGAAAAGACCCAGGCCTGGTCTTATGTCTGTTCCCTCATTTCTTTGTGATTAGAAGGGAACACCTCTCGCTTTAATGGCTTTGAGATCTGTCACATCCCTAACACGGTAAGGCTGGGGCAGAGGATTTCCATGGCCACAAGCAACTTTTTAAAATACACGCTCTAAGTACTTCCTTAATGTGTTCTGTTTATATGTGAGTGCATGTTTATATGTATATTTAGCTCTCTAAACGCCCCGTTAAAAAATGTATTTGGATAGTAGCATATAACACTCACTAATAATCACTTCACTTGTTTCCCTTAAAAATAAGTATTTCATATTTATAGATTTTGAGGAATCCCTAAAGAATTTATACTCTCTTATTTTATTTCTCCTAGGCCTATATCTTAAATTAAGACTGTATACAATACAATATTCTTTAATATCTTTATGGATAATATCATTATATAAAAGTATTTTATTTGATGCTCATTGACCAGTGATGGCTTGCAGCTGCCCTTCTGAGGGTGTATGATAATGTTTTGAGAGGCAAATAAAGCCCATATTGATAGCAGTGATCTCTCACAAATCTAGGAATGCAAAATATGTTCATATCACTTATATTGGATTTGTGAAAACACCCTTGCCCTGATTCCCTGTCAGTCTTTACCGGTGCAGATGCACATCCCCGGATGGTCGGGAGGGTCCACAGCTGATGGAGCTGCTCCGTGTGCCTGGCACCAGACGGTCAAGGCCCTGGGAGGGCGGCTGAGCGGGTTGACAGGGCGTGTGCCTCCCGGTGATCCGCTGCGAGGCTCTGGTGACAGTGAGGTTGGGATGTAATGTGCAGTGAGAGGAGGTGGAGACGACCAAGGACCGAGAATGCAGCGGGCACATCCCGCCGGTGCAGCCTGGGCACCAGAGGAGGGGACTGTGCAGCAGTGGGCATGGTGGAGGTCAGGCCCACCGCGTGGGCATGCAGCAGCGTTGGGAGCCCCAAGAGCTGTTGTGGAACAGGTCTGGGGACTGTAAAACCGTCTCATCTCACAGGAGGCTGAGCGAGAGGCGGTGAAAGGACTTGGAAGAACTGGGTCAGTGGTCAGGGAGCCCGGCAGTCAGCCGGCTGCCGTGGTGGAGCTGCTGGGGCATAAGGTTAGGGCACCAGCTTTTACGCACACCTTAGTTCAACATAATATAAACAGCAGGTTCCCTAAGTTCTGCTTCTGCTTCTCTGTATACGATTAGAAGAAATGTGGCTTTTTTATGCAGATCTTCTGTCTCCCTGGCACTTCCTGCATTGCTGTCATCATATCATGACACCGCTCTTGCAGAGGTCACCTGACATCCCCCAGATGATGGAAGCTGGGTCCACGGTGGTCTCCCTTCCTCCTTCTGTCAGTCCCTTGTCACTGGGGTTGCCCCATTGGGCTCCAGGGCCCCTCTGCTGGGCTGCCCTCACTCACCTGCTGCTCCGGCCCACTTGGCCGTTGCCCACCCTCCTGCCCATTGCTGCTGCCTGGACTCCTGTCCTCGCCTTCCCTTCACACCCTGCATATCTCCTTGGGTGATGAGTCCAGTCACCACCTTGAGTCTGGGGACTGCCAGATTTGTCTTTTAAGTCTTGTCCAAGTTCCAGGTGCATAAATTTGATTCCTTACTACGAGTCTCTTTCCAGTCTGTCCCCACAGGCTCCATTTCCTTCTCCTGCCCTGCCCTGCCACTGGGACGTCCCCCTTGTGCCCTGTGCTCCTCCGCGTTCTGCCTGTCTTTGCAGTTGGTCCTATTCCCAAGCTCTCTGCCAAGGGCCACGTCCTCCTGAGGTCACGGCCCCCAAAGGCCTTCTCCGGCCCCCACCCTACCCTCACAGGTGCCTCCCCCTGCCGCATTCTGAATTAGGAGCCCTGTCCAGTTATTTCTAGAGTACCGAGGACTTAGGGATTTCAAGAAAGCACTTGTCACATTACATTTCGATTATTTATTTGTATGTTTTTCTCACTAAATTTGAGCTTGTTGTGGACCGTGACAGCACTTTATTTCTTTATCCTTAACTGTTGGAAGGAAGGAAGAGAGCTTTATTATATAACTCACAGATTAAAAGCTTTCTGTTTGTTTTTGAAGAAATTAGTGTATTTCAAGTATAAATTATGCTTCAGAAAGCACCATTCAGAATATTTAAAAACTTGGCTATCAGAATGTGAATTTGTGAGTCTACCATTTTGCTTTAGTGCAGTTCTAGTATCCCAGCAGCCAGATGGATTTACTGTGTCCTAAAGTACCCAAATTACCCACAGCAAGAAGTTTCCCACTAAAAAGGATCTGGTCCATTATCTCATTAATCTTAAAGACATTCCTGTGAAGTAGTTTTGGGAGCAAATGGTATTATCTTCTCATAACAGCTGGTCCACGCATATGTTGTGTCTTGGCATTGTATAGTTTCAGCATTATTTTCTCTTTAATACAAAATGGAATAGAGTGTTTGACTCTCTAATACTGTTTCTATGTAACACTATTAAATATCTTGAAGTAACAGATTTGACCCTGACAAGGACAGTTATGTTAGGCCTTAACTGTTCCCGGATAGAAGCCGCCTTTCAGTGGGGAGGAGTGGAGAGGGGGCTGGACGTTGGTAGGGAGTGCTTGCAGCTAACTAAAGGCGATTACGAAGTCCTGTTTATAAGGTTTCAGTTTTCTCACTGCAACTCGAAGTAGGTCACTTTTGGGTAGGAGGGAGAGATGAACCTTAATTTTTTTGTCTTTCATTTGTAATTGAGGTCTCATTTACATGTAAGAAAATCCACTCATCGCCAGTCAGTCTGCACCTGCCCCCTTTGTGGCCCCCCTCCCTGCTGCAGCGTGTTCTGATTTCTATCGTGGCAGCTTATTTTGGTGTTCTAGAACTTCATTCATATAAATGGGGTATGTTTGATTTTGCAAATGGCATCTTTCACTCAGCATATTTTTAAGGGAGATGCTACTGATACACACAATATATGGGTGAGTATTCTCAGCGCCTTTATCTGACAGAGAACCCATACTCGGAACATAGAAAGAACTCCTGGAAGTCAGCATTAAAATGACAACCCAGTTTAAAAATGAGGTACGCACTGGGACAGTCCCTGAACTCTCTCCCCAGGCTCTCTGGCTGCCACGGAGCCCCTTTTTCTGGCATTCTGGTGGCAGGCTGTGGCTTTAGCCTTGCCACACCGTGGAATGCTTCCCACGACTGCAGATGTCTTAGGACGGAGTGGGAAGAGGACAAGCCTGCCCCAGGCCTCCAGCATCGCCTCCACCGCCACGCCTGCCGTGGGCTCACCGGCTCCTTCCTGGGCTCAGCAGGATGGCCACAGGGACCCCAAAGAGCTTTGCTTCTGGCACCCCTCTTCCCTCCCTGTGCTGCGACCAGAAAGTGGGTTTTGTGCTGGGGGGCCTGTTGTCTGCGCCCACTTGAGGTTGCAGAGGACGAGGGAAATGCACGAGACAGAGGTGTAATGGCAGCAGGGCCTTCCTGCCACGTGATGTCTGGGGTTCCCATCCTCTACTGCCCCCCTCCCGCCTGTTTTCATTTTAGAGCCCTCCTCGGATTGCCTTTCTGTGCTGACCTTGGTTCCTAGTTGTCCTCGGGGTGAGATGGCATGTGTGAGCTTCCTCCGCATCGCGCTGGACCAAACTCCTTCGTATTAACTTTGGAGCAACGAGTGTTGTGTTCAGATTTGATGGAAATTCCGCGAGTGTAGATGACATTTTATATGGCGTAGTTTCCTTTAGAAGAAAAGAAATACATTGTGGTCTCTTCTATTTCCTCTCTGTCTTATTTCAGCCTTTCTATTTTCCTAGTAGGATGAATTTTTAAGGTATTTAATAAAGAAAAATTTAACATAGTTAAAATATCCAAGTGAAACATATTCTGGTGGTAGTGGTTCTGATCCTTAGTGATTTTAATATTAACCAGCAGTTGTTAGTGTCACTAATACGTGATAATTAACATTTACTTGTCAAATACAGGGACCTCTTCTCAGTCAGTCACCCTCCCCTTCCGCTGGGTGTGGCGGTGACGTAGGTGGTCGTGCCTGCCTCCTGAGCCCGGTACCTGCCTCACTTCACACTGTTCGGCCTGCCCTTCCCCCTGCCTTGTACTCCTTTCTGCTCTGGCCTGTCTTTCCCCAGCGCTGTGGCCCCACCCTCACCCCGACAGGTCCTTTATCCTTAGCGGTATTTACTCTGCCCTTACTGTGTGAATGGCCTTCTGCCTATAGTCACGGCTCTAATCGTCCCAATAGTTTGTCAAACATTTTGTCAAACACGTCAAACATTGTCAAATAGGACACTGCCCCCTATTTTGACATTACAACTTCAAAACAATTCAAAATGGCATCCTTCAGTGTTCCCTTCAAATTTATTCATTTTTGAAATGTCATAGTCCACATGGTTGCTGAACTGAAAAATTTAGGATCATCTTCTTAATTCTTAGCGATGTTTCTCTCTTCCGTAATCTCAGACTTGCCCCTTTAGCCTCTTTTCCGCAGCTGTTTTCCTGATTCAGACCTTATTACCTCGTGCCTTTTGTTCCTTTCCCCTTTTTACAAAAAAAAATTTATTTTATAAAAGTAATAAACTGTGCATAGAAGAAAAGTAAAAAATATACACAAGTAAGAGGAAGAAAATATTATCCATATTCACTCAACCCAGGGATAACTAAGTGTTCTAAGCTAGTGTGTGTCCTTCCAGACCTTTCATGTCAATACACAGACACACACAGTTTTAAATAGGTTTCATACCCCAGGTGGGATTATATTATACATATGGTTTTATGAGCTGCTTTTTTCATTTAATGGATAATCTTTAATTAGGAAGAATTCTGCTCAATCATCTCAACTTTTCTGGTAGCAGAGCCTTATGTATTTCTGCCAAGTGATCCTCCTAAAATCTAGCTAAGATCCTTTCATGCCTGGCATAGAACCTTTCTGTGCCATACCGTTGCTTACAAATGTTTCATATTTATTAATGTGATATTCAAGAACCGTAGGTCTGTTCCTGTTCGAGTAGCAGAGAAGAGCTGAGAAGGCCCAGTAGTTGTGTGGAGAACCCCCACCAGGCTAGCGGAACAGAGAACAAGTGGAAACACCCTGTTCATTCTGAAGAGTGTGCCTGTTACCTCTCAGGGGCTTTAAGTTGATGCCCAAGGAATGACTGAGTTAACAGATCCTGGGGACCAGAGAATGCGGCAGGATTTGGGGGTTGGGAGAAGGAGAAACTTCCCAGAAGCAGGAAGACCACAAATAAAGGCAGAGGGCTCGTGAGGCCACAGAAAGCAGAGCTTGAAGAAAGGATGAAAAGAAATTCAGTGCAACTGCAGGGTGGTGTGAATGGGGGCAGGGAAGACGGCCGGGAAAGGCACTGGGGGCTGGGTCCTGAAGGGCCTCTTGTCTTGTCTTGTCTTCCCTGCCTCTCCATGGGATCGCACTGTCTCAGCCAGAGGACACCCTGTGTCCCTCAACTGCCCTGGCACTTACCCAATCTCCTCTAAAGGCTTTTATCACCTTCTACTGTATAAAGTAGTTGTTGTTTTAATCTGTATGTCTCACCACTTCTTCTGTATTTTCTAAGTTCCTTGGAAGGAAGGCTCAGCCTGAGTATCTTATTCCCCTATTGCATGCAGTAGATGCTCAACAATTGTCTGTAAAAGTAACAAGTGATAATAAATAAACACAGCAGATAGTTTTTTTAAAAAGGAAGATAAGGAAAGTTACTCATATTCATTTCATCCATTTACCTGAGCACAGGAGAAAGAATAGAAATATGCATGATAGACAGAAATAATATTCCTTTGAAGAGTCTAAAACATTGTCTTCCACAATAAGCTCTTGTAACTCTCAGCGTGTCCTCTAGCTATAAAGTTCCACATCTATAGAACTGATGGAATGGGAATTCCCTTGAAGCATGTGATGTTTTTTTAACAGTATGTGATATTTTACTTCTTTCATATAGTACACAACATGCAAATTACATTGCATTAGAATACAGTTGTCTCCCAAGGTCGCCAGATCTTAATGAAAAAATGCTATGTTTGTATCACATACTTTTTCTTAGTATTTACATTTAGTAAATATTCTTCACAGAGATATTAAGCAAATATAACTGATAAAAATGAAGCACAGTCCTGCTTCATGGAGCCTTGTCTAAGGAGCCTTTGGGAACCAACCCTCTTCTGTAGTTCATATTGAATTGGGCAGCATTTCAGAAATGGAAATGTTTCCTGTGGAAACTCTTGTAGCATATGGCGTTTAAACCAATCCACCAGAGTGTTTCTGCTGATATAGCCAAAACAAACGCTGGTTGTTTGTTATTATTATTATTATTACTATTATTATACTTTACACATTTAAGTGTCACTTGGTATTACTTTCAGTGTTTTGTGGCAGTTGAGCTGTTGACAGGTATTTTATTGAAAATGTGCCAGTTCCCTAATTATGTAGGGAAAATGTGATGAGACAAAACCTCTGAAGATGCTGAGAATTGGAAGTACATACCATACTGTGATTATTATAACTGAGAAACAGTTCAAGTTTTTCATACATATATTTTTAATTTGCATTATCTCTGCATTTGGTCAGTTGTTTATTAATTATACATTTCACTGTAACAAATTACCCCAACATTTAGTTTCTTAAAATTGATTCATTATCTCATGATTTCCGTGAATCCTGAATCTATGCGAGGCTGTCCTTAAGGTGCGAGGCAGGCCACAGGCATCTCCAGGCGTGAGTGGGGAAGGACCTGCTTCCAGCACCCCATGCGGTTGTTGGGAGGATTCACTTCCGGTTGACTGCTGGCCGGTGGTCCCCCTCTTCCTTGCCACGTGGGCATCTCCATCAGACAGCTTACAGCATGGCAGTCAGCTTCATCAGAGCAAAAAACCAAGAAGAGCGAGAGAGCAAGATGGTAGTCACAGCCTCCTGTCATCTAGTTTCGAGTGACACCCCATCACTTAGTCTCTGGTGGGTTCATTAGCAGCAAGTCTCCAGGGCCAGCCCATGTTCAAGGGGCATCAATACTAGGACGTGAGGGTTATTGTAGGCTGTCCACAGTTAGGAAAACTTTTTTAAACTGCAAGTTTTTATTTGTTAGAAGATGATTTCTGTACTTTGAGTCAGGTTGCATTCATATATACAAATATTGGAAATGAATATAAATCTTCATGTTTGAATATCCAGAGACCTAAGTTATACTGAATGTTTAAAATTGAGAATTTAGGCTCTTATCATCTTATCGATGACCTCTGCCCATTCTCCATACTCCGCACGTGGCTAGGCTGCCCCACGGTGATGATGTCCTTAAGGATTCTTGGTTGGAGGGGCTGGTCACCAGGACTGCCCCCTCCCATGTCTCTCCTTTAGACACTGACTCTAGCATATTTTTTCCCACAATTAAGGGTATATGCCTCCTTTGCATATTGAGATATTTACATCTTTAAAAATTAGTGCTCAAAATACTTACTACTTTAGAAGAAGCCTAGCTTTTGCTCATTATAAAGGGAGGACCCTAGGTCTGAGGCAGTGGCTGTGATGTGTCTGGCCAACCCAGGCCATTTTTGGTCCCCCAGGGTCGCCCTCTGGGGACCCAGGCTTTGTGGCCTGAGCCACTTAGTTTGGTGTTGTCCCTTATCCATGGAGACCAGGTTACCAGCCTGGCCTCTGGAGGTTCTCGTGGTCTGTGTCACATGGCGTCATATCATTCTCCGGGTTTTGACTTACTGCAGCCCTTGGGGCCAACCAGAAATACTGAGTTGGGGTGTTTTAAGATTGAGATCCACATACAGAAGCATTTTGAATGGATATTCCAGAAAATTGATGAATTCATTTTCCTATCCTAATTCATCAGGAACAGTTCTCAGAGTCACACAGTGACCAGTCCATACGATCACCTGTTTTGATTGTTCCTGGCATTTAATTTACAGAGGTGACTGAGTGGCCACACAGAGGCCAGTGCCATCCACAGAAGTTCTGTGAACCAAGTTCCCAGGAGAAGGGGCACCCACACCCTGCAGGGTCACTGGGGGAACAGAGGTGACTGAGTGACCACACAGAGGCCAGTGCCATCCACAGAAGTTCTGTGAATTACGTTCCCAAGAGAAGGGGCACCCATACCCTGCAGGGCCACTGGGGGAAGCGGCCGGGCCACTCAGGAGGCAGACGGAGGCAGCATGGGCCAGAGCCTTCGCCATGGTTTCCTTGGGAGGAATGGGTGAGGCCGGGTAGGCAAGTGTGAGCAAGCCTAGGACCGAGCAGTCTGAGTAGGTTTGCCGGGGAGGGCAGAGCAGCCTCTGGGACTCAGCTACTCGGTGGAATTACCCAAGCATCGCCTGGGTTCTGCCCACAGAAACTGTTGGCCTGGGGTTTTCTTGTGGAGCTCCAGGTGATTCCAGTAAGCAGAAGTACAGAACGAAGAGCCGTGCCTCAGAGTGTCCTCCTTACACCAGGAGTAGGGTTTGTTTCTGTTTGCTTTCAAACTGGTAATCCTCTGTGGACTGACTGCTATTTTTGTAAAATACAATGAAAATGAATTATTAGAAAAATGGGGGAAAGAAAGAAATGCAAAATGCAAGCTCCGCTATTACTAGAGCCCACCATATATAATAACTATACCAAATTGCTGTAAACATTACAAAATGATAATTCTTATTTCCATGCCTGTTGTGGACACATAACAGAGTTCACGGACTGGCACTTGGCCTGCTGAGCAGCGCTGACAGGAGGCAGTCTGGCAGGAGTCCTGTATACAGTGCAGGGAAGCGTGTGCCATGGGAAGTAGAGTGGGTTCAGATCCTACAGGCCTTAAATGCTGGCATAAACAGCTTGGCTTTTATTCTGTAGGTACAGGGGGGCCAGAGAATCCTGGAAAAGAAGGATGTAATCTCAGCTTTGGAGGCTTACTTGGGCAATATTGTGTATGATGGACTCACAGTGAGAAGAAATTGTTACAAAGACCTGAAAGGGGTGGTGCTGGGGAAGGACTGGGTGAATAAAGCAAAAAAACTGCATCAAATTTCTGGAGAAGCCGTCTCACAAATACTGATAAACTACTTGAAGGATGTAGGAATGAAAGCTAGCTACTTTTTTTTAAACCTTAAATAATCGAAAAAACCCTTACTTCCATCCTAAAAGATAACCGACCTGATGTATTTTCAGAAACCACACAGATTGAAGACCCAAGGAAACAATGGAGGGGGGAACAGGAGAAAATGCTCAAGGACTACCTGTCGGTGGCTCAGGACGCTCTCAGGACGCAGAAGGAGCTGTACCACGTGAAGGAGCGGAGGCTGGCCCTGGCCCTGGACGAATACGTGCGATTAAATGATGCCTATAAGGAGAAGTCAAGTTCCCGCACAAGCTGTAAGTACAGCACACTGTTCAGACTTCACACGTGGGGACTGAAGACAGTGGTGGGCCGCTGGGTGTCTGCAGCGTTTCGCTTGGAGTCCGGTCCGTTCATAGGCAGAAGGAATCCCTCTGAGAGCGTGAGGCCACACGGCAGATTTCTCAGGAACACCCCTTGACTCCGTTCCAGACAAAAGTCCCCTCCTGTGGGGGTTATGTGTCCCTCCTGTGTTTGGTCCTTGGTCCACCCGATTGCTTTTTATTTATTTATGAGTTAATTTCTACCTTTTCAGATCAGGCAAATAATTCGGCCCTTTTGCCACACTTGTCCAGTATTTTCAGTGGGGAGGAACTGGACCATTAGCTAGGACGAAGTTTCTGTCGACCACCTGAGTTGATCTGCTTCTTATTCTCTTTAAAAATTGATAATCTGGAGTTGGCCTTGTTTCAAAAAGTAACTCGCCTGGGCTCAGAGGTTCTACTTGAATTCTACATTTCTGGGTGACGCAAGGCTCTGGAAACTGTACCTCCAATAAGGTCCTCTGAGATGTTGTACACAGGTCTGAAGTCCAGAAGAAAATTTTGAGCACCAGGCTCTTTATGATATTCCTCTTTCTTGAGTTTTTTTTTTTTTTATAGAAATTATAAAGGTTTGAAGATTACTTTTTATATTTAGGTGTCTGATGAATGACAGTAAAGGAATTCTAAAGTAAGTATCCACAAAAGCATGTAAATCTTTGTAGGGTTTGTAAATTCTAAGCAGAGAACTAGTTACGCAACTCATACAAGTTACTTTTTTCTTTCTTTTTCTTCTCTTTGAAAAGTATTCTCAGGATCTTCATCCAGTACTAAATACGACCCTGATATTTTAAAAGCCGAGATCTCTACTACACGATTAAGGGTAAGTAAGTGTTTTTTTATCCCGGTTCTTTGTTTCACCCACGCCTAGAACCTAAAGGTGGCGGAAGCATCCTTGTTTTTCATCTGCTGTCTCCGTTCACCGTAGGCGCCTCCTCTGCTCTCCCCCGATGGGTGGGCTTTCTGCCACTGCTAGAACACGTTCAGTGATTGAGGTTGTCCTCGTTCCAGGGACGGGGAGCGGGCCCCATTCCTGGGCAGCATGATTATTTGCGTTGAGTGTATTGAATCAGGATTTGAGTCTGTGTAACTTACTTTCCCTGTGGTGCTAAGGTGTCTTCCCGAGTTGAGCCAGGTGCTTTTTCATCGGAGACCCCATATTTACAGATGCCCACTGATGGCGTCACCAAGGCAGTCCTTTCCTGGGTCAAACTGACCCGTTCCTCACATTTCCTCATGCGTTATTTCCTATCTCTACCCTAAATCTTTTCAACCAAACTGCTGTGAAGGCCAGAGCTTGTTTATCCTTAATTTTGGAGTCTTAAAGACTGTTCACCAAGTAAATAAATTCATGCAGCCAGTACCTTGGTCATGAAATAGATTACCAGGAGCCCCCTGGACCCCTGTCATCATTATCCGTCCCCCTGAGGGATGCAGACCTCATCATTAGTGTAGGTTACATTTCCATCTGCTCCAAACTTTGTAAAATTGGGATGGTACCATATGTGTTACTGGATGGCTTCTTGTGCTCAAAAACATTTGGATTCATCCACATTCACTTCCTGCTGTAAAACATTCCACTTTTATATATATACCATAAATTCGTTATCTCTCCTACTATTGATGTACATTAGAGTTTATTCCAATTTCTAATAATTATTTCTTTAATGTACATGTCTAATGTACATGTCTTTTGTGCACGTTTTTTGTTATGCAACTAGGAGCAGAATTGCTGTATCAAAAAATACAGGTAGCTTCAACTTTAACAAATTCTGACAAATGTTTTTAGTTCTTCTTACTTTCTGATTTCGGCCATTAAAGTTGAAATTATGTTTTCTGCATATGGCTTTTGCCTATATCCCAGAGATTTTGAATTTTATATTTTTATTATCAGTCTGTTCAAAATGTTTTCTGGCTTATTTATGATTTCTCATATGAGTATATTGCTTCATTTTTAGGCAGTTGGTATTTTCTTATCTTTTATTATTGATTTCAGCTTAATCCACTGTGTATTTTTCAGTTCTAAAATTTCTATTTGATAATTTTTTATTGTTTCTGATTACTTGCACAAATTCTGCACATTAGTATATACTTTGTTAAACAAAATAATCACAGTAATTCTTAAATTCCATGTCTTGATTGGTACAATGTCTAGATTTCCTGTATGTTGGATTCGTCAGTCTAGATCTGATTTTTCCTCTTGATTCTTGGTCAAATTTGACTTCTTACAGCTAGTTAATTTGTACTGATAAGTACGTATTATGTGTAAAAAAAAGTGTAAAGGCAATGTAAGGTTTTGAATGACCCTGTCATCCTTCAGGGAGGATTTAGGTTTGTTTGTCGCAGGCAGGTAGGCCAGGGGCAAATCCTTGTGATTCAGTCGCATGTGGCCGGCTGAAATCCGGGCTTCCTTCCTTTTCTGAGAGTGGGTCATTTGCCGCTTCCCCTTTCTGTAGCGCAAAGCTCTTCGAGATCCCAGGTGACCTCCTGGGACGTTTGCCGAGGGCCCAACTGCGAACCTCCTGTGGAGCCTCGCCCTCTGGGCCTGCCCTCTGTCGCTCTGTGTCCCAGGCCCTCGGGCACTGCGTCTGGCCACCTTTGCAACTTCTCTACTGTACGCAGGTGCCTCAGAAGGGAAGATGGTGCCAGCTCTGGACCAGCACTGGGCATCCCTTTTCTTGGGATCATCAACACAAGCTTCTTGCTGCCCTGGGTCTCTCCAGTGTCTTCAAGTCAATGTTCTGTGTTGTGTTTTTCCTTCGACTTCGCCATTTGTTCTGGGGGGAAGAGTGTGAACTTTCTGAAAGTCCTGCCTCTGCTAAGTCTGGGTGTCTTGGTGTAATTTGTGGGTCACTGAGGGAAATGTTCTGTATCATCCTAACATGAGGGTCCCTCCAGCACATCATGGACTCTTTACTCTGCCTTCATTTCTCTGTATCATGTCTCCACATTTCTGTGATCTACTAGGCTAGAGACCTTATCTAAAAAAAAGGAAATGAAAGGATTTTATCAAAACGTACTCTTAGTAAGCTTCAGTACTCACTTGAGCTGTTCACTTCTCAGGAAGTTGTTACATCCTAGTTTTACCCTTTGAAATTTTAACCATTTTTCACCGTTCTTATCTTTGTAGGACACATTATAAATGGAATGACCAGAATAGGCTATTATAGTCTGTCCATTTTCTCTCTTAGGAGAGATGCGAACTAAGGAAGGGATTCAAAACCAAAAACATAGAGTATCTCGTACAAATAACCGTTTTAGAAGGAAATTCTCAAACGGGAGACCTCAGGAGATCCCAGGTGGTCACATTCGCCAGACCTGTCTCCCAGAGCAGTGGAATCTCCTAGATAAAGTTTGTTTTATGCCAGCTTTAGTGTGCTCTCAATATCAGAAGCCTGTATTTCACATCTGTATTTCATCCCTGAGACCACAAAGAGGAGTCAGGCAGGAGCAGCCTCAAGAAGAGGCTACAGGACATTCATAAGCAACTAATGAATGCTCAGAAGTGACACTCTCTTCATCTCCTTCATTATGAATAGGTGCTTGTTTAACACCTCCTATCAGCATAAATGCCTGAAATGCTCCCTTCGCAAATTGGCCTGTGTTACCGTTGTGACGTTTGGAGTTGTGTCGTAGTTTGAACACTGCAGAACATGTGACGCGCTGTCTCCTCTGTCTGCACACATTTTGGCCGGGTAACACTCCCACAAGGCCCTGGCCATTCAGAAGTAGCGGGTAACTTGCAGGGTCTCCTTAATTTTGATACCCTGGCTTTTCTTGGCGTGCCTACCCTGTAGAAATCCCTGTATATACAAGTCCTTTTCACAAATTAATGCCACAGCAATAGCAACTCATGAATGAATGAACTCTTTGCTTTGGTGTTTCGCGGACCTGACTGCATTTTTGTTCACTCATAATTTTTCAGGCATAGCTACATGCTTGCTTTATACATCATTGTTTTGATGCAACAGTATTAGCAGGTGGGCTTCATTTGTTTTACTTAGCCTGAGCTAGTGGGTCAAGTTTTGGGGAACCAGGTATTTAGGAACATCTGTCTAAAATATCTGTTTTATATTATTTTATATCATAGTCATAGGTATTAGTGATCATTGGATTTCAGTTTCCTTCTTGGTCAAAAGAGGTAATAGTATTTCCTGGCATCTTATTTCTAGTTGTTGAAATGGTAAAATGAATAGATGAATGCTTTTTAAATTAAGAAACTTTTAACTTTCAGAGGTGGTGCTTTAATTGCTTGGGAAGAGGAATATAAACATTTTTTACAGCAAAATTATTATTTCTACAGTGATGTGTATCAATATTATTTATCAATAAGACTAGAAAAAAATTTATTTCATCTATCCAGAAATAGATACTTAGACCGCAGTACCCTTGGGGTAGGGAATGGAGAATATCATACAAACTAAACCTTAAATTCAACTGATATTTTTAAAAAATTCATGCCCCAAATTACAAATAGGGGAGATTTGGCAAAAATTTGGTGGAGAAAATTTTTCATGAGTTTTGATTAAGTTTTTGCTTTTATGATTTATTTATTATGATGTCCTATCTTGTCCATTTCTATTTGCTGGTTTATTCATTTTTAATTTAACAACTCCATTGAGAAGTACTTCCCGCACCATACAATTCACCTATTTAAAATGTACAGTTCAGTGGGTTTTAGTATATTCTAGCTGTGTACCCATCCTCACAGCCTCATTCTGGAACATCACGTCTCCCCTAGAAGGAACCCCGCGCTCATTAGCAGTCACTGCCCATCCCCCACACCGCTCCCCTCCACCCACAGATCCCAGGCAGCAAGTCATGTATTTTCTGTCTCTAGAGTCGCCTGTTCTGGACATCTCGTGTGATGGCTTCTCTTCCTGAGCATCATGTTTTCAGGATTCCTCCATGCGGTAGCGTGTCGGTACTTCCTTCCTTCTCATGGCTGAATAGCATCCCACTGTAGCCATATATCACATACATTTGTCCATTCATCAGCTGGTGTTTATTTGGGTTGTTTCCGCTTTCTGGCTAGTACGAACAGTGCCAGTGTGAACTTTCCTGCACCAGCATGTTTGTAGATAAATGTTTTCATTTCTCTTGGGTACTGTAGCCCAGGACCAGGGTTGTTGGGTCATAAGTTGGCAATTTAACAGTTTATTTTAGTTATTTATGGAGATCTAGCATTGACCTTCCACATTTTTATCATTTGTCTCAAGGTCGTATATTTCATACATGTTCCATGTAATTTTTTGCAGTGACTTCTGTTTCCTTCATATTGTCATTAAACAAAAGGGGAAGGGGTTTTAGAAAAATATTACAGGCAATCATCTTGTTTCTGATGACAGAATCCATTTGTTAGTTATCATAAATGGTTCTAATAGCTTCTGGGATTCTATTTTTCTCTACAGGTGAAGTCAAAGCATTTATTATTAATTCTCTGAGTGTCTGGAACTGACTTCTCTCTCTCTTTAAAGGCGACTTCAGAGATGAGGCAGGGCGGTGAGGATTTTCGGGTGGTGGAAGTGGTGGTAAAGAGGAGGATTTTCAGGAGGAGCCAGCTGACAGTTGCCCTTTGTTGCTCGCTTAAGGCGCTTCTGGCAAGACAATAGAGGAAACGGTGAACGGGAAAGGTAGTCGTTAGTAAAATGCCATTTTGCTCATTATAGCTTTAATGCTGTGAGGTTCCCTTTTAGGGCAAACTTATGAAACTTGCCTGTCTTGTGATCCTTCCAAGGTCCCTGGGTTTCTGGAATTTACTTTGCCTTCATTGTCATTTTCTTTCTCCTTCTTTTAAAATAAAACTTATTACGCCGGGATTGTAAGAGAGGCTAAGGCACTCTATGATTTCCAGTCATACTTACCACATTTAATCATGCTATCTCCCTAGTTTTCAGAAATAACTTAAAAATCAGTTTAAAATGTCAGTTGCTTTTGTGTCGTCAGTATAGAAAGCAGGAAATGTGCAAAAGTCTGGGGTCTCTTGCCCCCAGTTGGTACCCGGGGTTGTGAGGTTAGATTCCATAGACATAGGTCTGTAAAATTAGATGGTTGCCTGTGGTTGCAGAAAGTTCAAAACACAGGCTGTAGGGCATGTGGCCTATTCAGACCTTCAATTGGGTGAAATATAGGAATAATGAAGTTTCTAATGTAAAATAAAGTTAAACATTCAGTTAAACTCAACAGATAAATGATTGAATATCTACTGTACCCAGAATCCTGTGCTTAAGCCTGTGCGGGGTCTCACACAGCGCCTGCCATTGTCGTTTATTCCTCAGGGTGCCTAGTCTCCTCCTCGACTTTTTTCTCTGATAGTCCATGATGCTTTTTTTTCCTCTGATTTCTCTTGGCATTACTCCACAGTGAATTTTCTCTCTTCCTCTGGAAGGCTTCTGAGTGGTGAAGGTGCCTGAGTTGTGTTCCTGAGCTCACTTAGGTTTTCAGTACACACCGACTAGGCGATTTCATTTATTCTCATACATTGAAAGTGTCACCTTTCTGTCAGTGACTTTCAGTTGTATATCTAGTCCCGACACGCCTCCTCAACATCAAGGCCACATATTCCAGTTGCCTTCAAAGTCTCATGGGCATCAGAAAAATAAGTATCTTAGAGAAAACCTTTGATCTTTCTGCCCAAATCTGGTCTCACTCTCCAGAAAAGCACCCTCCTGCTCCAGCCGGGAAGCCACAGTCCTGGCAGCGGCCTGTGACACATCTCCCCCCCGCGCCCTCCACACTGAGTCCGTCACCGAGTCCGGTTGATTCTGCCTCCGAGACAGATTCTTCCTCTGGGTGTTACGCCATGGCACTGCCCGCATGCCACCCCACAGGCAGGCCGAATGACCCTTCTGTCCCCCGCTGGTCCGTTCTCCTGTCATCACACTGACCTTTTAAAATCATAAAGCAAATCTTGCTTTAAAATCCTTCTTCGATTCTGATTGTTCCTAGGATAAGATCTAGAAATCTTCGCCATGGCTTCAAGAATCCATATAATGAGCCTTCTTTCCCAGGCCCGTCTCACGCCGCGCGCCACCTCTGTGATCCAGCACCGGTAGCATGCTGTAAATCCCGGCTACTTGCTGAGCTCCCCTTCCCACACGTTAGGGTTGGTCTACTAGCTGTCCTCTTGGAGGCGGAGCCCCTTCATCAAGTGAAGCTCCCCTAAGCCTCTCAGCTTAAACATCATTTCCTCAGACAGGCCTGATCCAGCCTTCAGACTGAATTAAATTAGGTCCCGTCCCCATGAAATGCCCTGGACTTTTCCTTTATATCACCTCTGATAACTGGTAAGATTTATTTCATGGGATGATTATTTGTTCAATTTCTGCTGCCGCCCACCCCCAACCCCAACATTGTTCTTTAAGACCCATAAAGGCAAAGATTGTGTCTGTTTGGTTCATATCTCAGGCCCAGAAACTGACCCTTCCTGAAGAGTCAATAAATTCTTGTGAAATGGGTAGGAAATTGAAGTTTAAAAGCACATTGAAACACTGTGTAACAGAATGTGCTTAAAACTTAAGGCTGTAATATGGAAATAAGTTTCTGACACCCATGTGAAGACCTTTAGTTTGTAACTAAACCAGGCTTCTGCTGTTTTTCTCACCTATCAGATTTTAGAATTGTGATTACCAAGAATGTATTTGGCAACAGGAAAAAGATATTTTTTGTCAGCTTGACAACAAATATGTATTCCTCACCTACTGTTTGCCCGGTACTCTGCGAGAAGCTTGGGCTACAGCCGGTATGATGCAGCTTATTTTCCCACAGGGAACTGACAGTAAACAGTACACAGAAAATGCCAGCTCTTAAGAAATACTGTGAGCTAAATACCACAGAGTAATGGCAGGGTGGCATGGTTAGACAGAGACGTCCTATCTGCACAGGCCCTGTGTGAGCTGAGACTTGCATGACAAGGTGTCAGCTATTGAAGATCCGAGGGCAAAGCCATCCAGCCAGAGGGAACAGCACACGCAGAAGCTCAGAGGCAGGAACTGCCTGACAGAGAAAGCGGGGTGACCAGTGGTCCTGGAGCTTGGTGAAGGAAGGAGAAGTGTTTAGAGTAGGGACACCCGGGTTTAAAGTCTGACTCCCCCCTTGCTGTCTGTGTATCACAGACAGGAGATAGTAGTGATGTCCAGCTTGCAGGAATGTGACTGAATAAGATGATGAGGGTGAACATGGGTAATAACGTGCATCACTGATCATTTCAATGTGATGAATGACCCTCCCATAGAACTGATGTCAGGGAGAAGCTAGTAGAGTGAATATTAAACTAATGGCTGTGTTCATGTGTTTAATAGTTTACTAATATATTATCTTTTAAAACAGCATTGCTAATTATTTACAAACATTCATATTTACACTGATTTCTCACAAAAGGTTAAAAAGCTGAAGCGAGAACTCTCACAGATGAAGCAAGAATTGCTCTATAAAGAACAAGGCTTTGAAACATTGCAACAGTGAGTACAAAAATACTGTATTGACTTTAGAATAATGCAAAGCCCCCAACTAACACAAAAAAACAAAAGTACAGGTTACATAAAAGACTTCTCGATGAGACATAAAGTTAAAAGCTCAGAGCTCTGCACCAAAAAAGGCATTACCCAACAAACAAAAACTTGGGGAAATCTATATACTTTGGAAAGGTATCTTTTATGAATCATTGGAGAGCCAAAGAAACCAAAGTGAAAACTGTAACTGCTGGCACCTGGCAGCCTGCCCTGAGATGGTGGGTCGGGTGGAGACCAGGTGCAAGGGACATCTCTCCACCCGCGCTCTGGAGACGCACTGCAGTCCCGCCCTGAGCCCTGGGCCGGAGGCAGGCTGATCGCTGGGAGCAAGTTGGAACTGGCAGCCAGGGCCCTCGAGGGAGCCCTCCATTTCCAGTGGTCCTCTGGCCTGCCCACTTCTATGCTGAAGCCTCACCGGCCACTGGAGTAGCTCCAGCCTGGGCCAGGTTGAGTGAAGATGTACATGACAGAGGGTAGCAGGGTCTGGAGGACCCTGCCCTCTGCCAGCCCTGGGAAGCCACCTCCCTCCCTGCTAGCGAGCCCCAGTCCTGACTGGGACACTGAGGCCTTCCTACACACAGTCCCACCGTGGTCTCTGACGCAAGGGAGGAAGCTGCTGGGTTTCACACCATGTGACCACAGGACTGAAGGTATCCCTTGAAATTATTACCAACTGCTTCTTAGTTGCCTCCTCCATGATGCGGCTCAGGGCCACCAAGTGGGGTGCAGTATTTGTAGGGGTGTCCCTGGTCAGTTTCAGGCTCTTCCCTGCATCTCCCCCAGGGGCAGTCCATGGCAGCAAGGCATTACCCCTCTTAAAGATGCTGCATGTTCGCCGGCCAGGCAAGCATGAACTGACCGTGCCGTGTGGTTTGGATGAGTTCTATCTCGAGACACCCAGTCGCTACTCCTTGACCACACAACTTTAGTTTCAGACATTTGGTTTTATGGCTTAGACTTCTTTTTCCCGCTCACCTCAATGTCATCATAACCACGATATTCTTTCAGATGCTCCCATCCCAGTGCTTCTCAAACCCGACTGCGTGTTAGAGTAATCTGGGGAGCTCTTTTTAAAAAAGTACCCGTTTCTGGTCTCCACCTCAGGTATGTGTCATGAGATCCCAGGTGGTTCTCAAGAATAGCTATGCCGTACGAACCTCAGCTGGTTCCAGAGCTCCCCTAAAAACTGTGTAGACTGAGAATGACATAATGTGATACTTAGTACTTGTATGCCAACACAAAGGAGGGCTTTGTGGTAGGAGTGGAGAGAGAAAGCAAACCCTGAAGAATGCCGCAAAATATTTAGCCACACGGTAAACGTTTTCCAGGCACGTGAAATTATAACTCATGTCACCACCCAGGATTAAAGGTTAGCCAAGCTTGTGTTTTTGTTATATTGGTGTAACAATGCCATATTGTTTCAAAGCAGTTTGCTTGCAAGCAATTTTTATAGGAATCTAAGGCATGTTTAAGAATCTGTCAATAACATTCCACAAGAAAACAATAGACATTTGTCGTAGAAATTCAGGCATTCTCCTGCAATGATTCTAATCCCGTGAGCCCAGAGCAGAGAGATGCGCTATTTACCCTCAGAGACCTCTCTAGTTGACCTTAGTGACAGACAAAATGAAGCTGTTTTCATTCAAATATTAACCACCTACTAGAACACTGGATGATAATTGATTGAACCCAGAGACCATGTTTTTCAAGAAACCACATTCCTGATCCTATAAAGGGACTTTTATTTGGGATTATAAGACAAAATAATTTCAGGAAAAGATTTAAGTAGGATCCCACTGCGGGCTTTTGTAACATTTACTTATTCACAGTATAATGGTCTGTTCTTGTTAAATCTGGAGTTATGGTGTAATTTACACTCAGGCTTTCATTTTCCTTGGTACAAGAGTTTTTTCTGGATGAATGGGTGTGGTTGTATTCTCTCTGTTACCCATTTCAGTCTGTGTCCCAAATTTGACTTTGGCTTCCGTGACAGTGTAGTTTTGTGTAGATGGACACCAGGAAGAGATACATGTCCACTCTGCCACCTCCAGTGGTCACTCAAAACTGGGAAATGTCAAGTGATGAAACCCCCAGCAAGCCGAATGTACCTACAGACTCTATGAGAATTTGGCTCTGGGGGTGCTTACTTTCCAGGGAAGGCACACAAATGGTAATCTCTTCCGTTTCAGAAGAGACTAAGCTACAGGGAAAACTTAACAGGGTACACACAAACCAGAAAATTTCTAAATTTTTAGGGAAAAATATAATGACATTTCTCAAATTAAGAACAGAAAGCATAGTCCTCTGTTTTACAAACCAGCAAATAATGCTAATATTTTGTTTTATTTTATTTTATGGGCAGTTAAGGTCAAAAGAGGGAAAAGGTGGGAGATGACAAGTAGAGGAGAAAAAAGGGGAAACATGGAGGTCAAGGAGAAAAGAGACATTTAAAGTAGAGACGTTCAAAGCAGGCAGAAGACAAGGAAAGGAAGAGCCGGCAGAGCTGTGGCAAACGCCGCGTTAAGACGGCTGGTTCCCAGCATACTTAACCTTCGCCTGAGCAGCAGAGAGCCAAGGAATTTTCACCTCTTTTTAAAGCTACCTGAAATTTAAATTAGCAGGCCTGCTTTTATTTTTAAGTATCAAAGTTTATTTCTGAAAATAACTTACTTGCTTTTTTAGTTCAAATGTTAAAGTTCATATCTGAATTAAAGATATGTTTTACTGTTAAATTCTGAAGGTTTTACAAGTAGAAATCACTTGGACTTCGGAAATTTACTTTGACACGATTTGAGATGCCTATATTGTTACCTATTTCATGAAATCCCACAGATGATTTTTTAATTAAAATAAACCTTTTGCCTCAACTAAGTTCGTAGATACAGTACTTTAGGGAACCAACAATTTCATTGAAAATCGCAATATTCAAAGTGCTTCAGTGTTTTTATCAAATATTCTAAGATAGTAGTCATCTTAGATGACTCATACAATAGTCATAAGAGTTGACCATTACCTGGGTTGACCATTCTGAGGATATTTGCCCTACTTTTAGCAACGTGTTTATGCAGCTTAGGAGCTAAATTTTTATAAACTTTCTGGCCCCAGTGTCTTCATTTGGAGAAAGTATGACTGGCAGATCCCTAGGGTCCCTTCCCACTCTGAACACTGTGTATGTGGAATTCAGCGAACTTCATTGGTTGAGCTTTATTATCAAATGACCTTATGATGAAATTTATCTTACATTCTTAAATTGTTCAATTGCTTGTTCAGCAGCATACAATAGTTACTAAAATAGTACTTGGGAAAATATGTTATCTACAAACTCACTGGCTTGAGCAAACTTTGTAAGAATGAATAAGATGGCATTTTTTTTTCTGTCTTAGAAAAGATAGAAATAAATATAAATACATATCGAAATAAATATAAATTCCTAAGTGTTTTAGACCACTTTTCTGTGATGTAATAGGTGCCATTTCTCTGTGGATGAGACCAAGGGTGTGTCTGAGAATGAGAGCTGCTGGCTGAAGGAGCGGAGGCATAGCCGTCCGCTCTTGGCTGTCGCCCCAGCTCTCTTCACAGCGAAGCCGGGCAGAGTCCTAGCACAGGAGCTGGTAGCCCACGCAGTTAGGTGATTTGTCTGGGCCCTGCAAACAGAAAGAATTAGGTTACATGGCATCCTCTGACATAGGGTGACCACGTGACCTATAGGACATCGGGAAGCAGATATGCCCAGGAAACAGATAACAGATTAGCTCATTGAAGAGCTCTGTATTCCATGCCGGCTGACAGTGCACACATCTGCCTCTCTGCCTTATCCTAGATTTGAACTCAGTCAGCAAGGCAAGCAATTGTATCTCAACCCCGAACTAGGATAAAGCTGGAATAACTGCTGTTCCTATATTGAAAAAGAAATAAGGAACCAACTACACAATCCAAATATCGTAGGACACTCACTAGCATAAATAACAGTCACTGTCAGTTATGCAAGGCCGGCCACTCTGTAGGCACTGTGTGAGGTGGAAACATGTAAGAGAAGGTGAGCGCTGTCACTGAGGTTGTCATCCAGCGGACTGGCATTTCTGCCCTCTGGCTAAGTCATGTCCCCATGTCACTAACCTCACCCAGGGTAGAGATGAGGGTCAGCATGAGATGAGGTTGGAGTTCAGACAGCATGCGATCACCCAAACGGATGAAGGCAAGAAGCCGAGCCTGAAAATGGTTAGAGGTGGGCCGGACGTGAGGTGGGGGATGGGAGAAGTCTTAGCTAGAAGTGATCAGAGGGGACACACACTGGTGTGTGAGTCAAGGGTCACAGTCGTCAGCCCTCTAAGACTCAGCCAATCCGAAAACCAAGTCCTACAGTGTTTTTTAACTTGTACTCTGTCCGTCTTTGATTTTTCTTTTTTCTTTTAACAGAATTGATAGAAAAATGTCTGGAGGCCAGAGTGGCTATGAACTTAGTGAAGCCAAAGCCATTCTAACTGAACTGAAATCTATCAGAAAGGCTATCAGCTCAGGAGAAAAAGAAAAACAAGACCTGATGCAGGTATGCCGTGGGACATTTTATTAGTCTGCCAGCTCCCCTCAGGGGCCCCAGAAACGCGCCTGGAGACGGGAGATCAGAGTCTGGGTGGCCCTTTACCGCACCCATGAAATTCATACCGAATTTGGTCCCATAAGAGGCTGTTACAGGCCCCAGGGCGACAGCCCACCTTGGAAGAAACAGCTTGGTGCCAAGGTTCTGATGTGCTGGTGTGAAGGCAGGTGTTGGATGCCCCCTGAGATGGGATGCTGGACCCCAGAGCCCGTATGAGGAGATTCATATCTGGGCATAGCCTGCAGCTCACTGAGAACTTCATGGGCAGCCCAGATGGGCAGGGTCATCTAAAGCAGTGATCCCAGCCCCAGGGACATAAAGGCATGTCACCTGTCATCAGGAAATAGAAGATATGCCTTGAAGAGTGCAGGAGAGTATGTGAGTTGCTGAGAAAAGCTCTTCCCCACCCCAGGAGATTCCCAGATGCGAGCTGGTGTGGGCTGGGGAGTCTGTGTAGCCACCCAGGAAAGCTGCTGATGGCAGCGGGTCCCCTTCTTACCCCTGTATAGTTCTCAGCTTACAGTTTTCACTCTCAATGTCCCAGCCTTGTGTGTAGAAAGAACAACCATCCAGTGATTAATATTCTGCATTTTTTTATATCTATGTTTAGCACATACAGTCAAGTTTTCTTTTAAGAGTTATCCCTTCCTCTTCTTCCCTTCCCTCCATCCCGTCATTATCACAAGTGCTGAGAATCCTTTGTAGGTCAGATATTTGGAGTTCAGAGTAAAGATTTAGTCTGTGTCGTTGGGACACAGATGTTAGAGCTATAGTGATGTTTGCATTCTTAATAGAATCTGTAAGTACCATACTCAACCTACTTCATGTCCATTTTCAAAACCCTAGTTGAATATAGGTAAATATTATTGAACCCCTCTAATTTTGCACTTGGGGAATTTTGAAATAACTTGCAAGAAGAGGTTGAATTTTTAAAAATGTTAATAATAGCAAATACTTGTAAGTCTTGATTGCACGGGGCCACCTTCAGGGTGCCTTCTAGAAATCACTTGGACTTCGGAAATTTACTTTGACACGATTTGAGATGCCTATATTGTTACCTATTTCATGAAATCCCACAGATGATTTTTTAATTAAAATAAACCTTTTGCCTCAACTAAGTTCGTAGATACAGTTCTTTAGGGAACCAACAATTTCATTGAAAATCGCAATATTCAAAGTGCTTCAGTGTTTTTATCAAATATTCTAAGATAGTAGTCATCTTAGATGACTCATACAATAGTCATAAGAGTTGACCATTACCTGGGTTGACCATTCTGAGGATATTTGCCCTACTTTTAGCAACGTGTTTATGCAGCTTAGGAGCTAAATTTTTATAAACTTTCTGGCCCCAGTGTCTTCATTTGGAGAAAGTATGACTGGCAGATCCCTAGGGTCCCTTCCCACTCTGAACACTGTGTATGTGGAATTCAGCGAACTTCATTGGTTGAGCTTTATTATCAAATGACCTTATGATGAAATTTATCTTACATTCTTAAATTGTTCAATTGCTTGTTCAGCAGCATACAATAGTTACTAAAATAGTACTTGGGGAAATATGTTATCTACAAACTCACTGGCTTGAGCAAACTTTGTAAGAATGAATAAGATGGCATTTTTTTTTTCTGTCTTAGAAAAGATAGAAATAAATATAAATACATATCGAAATAAATATAAATTCCTAAGTGTTTTAGACCACTTTTCTGTGATGTAATAGGTGCCATTTCTCTGTGGATGAGACCAAGGGTGTGTCTGAGAATGAGAGCTGCTGGCTGAAGGAGCGGAGGCATAGCCGTCCGCTCTTGGCTGTCGCCCCAGCTCTCTTCACAGCGAAGCCGGGCAGAGTCCTAGCACAGGAGCTGGTAGCCCACGCAGTTAGGTGATTTGTCTGGGCCCTGCAAACAGAAAGAATTAGGTTACATGGCATCCTCTGACATAGGGTGACCACGTGACCTATAGGACATCGGGAAGCAGATATGCCCAGGAAACAGATAACAGATTAGCTCATTGAAGAGCTCTGTATTCCATGCCGGCTGACAGTGCACACATCTGCCTCTCTGCCTTATCCTAGATTTGAACTCAGTCAGCAAGGCAAGCAACTGTATCTCAACCCCGAACTAGGATAAAGCTGGAATAACTGCTGTTCCTATATTGAAAAAGAAATAAGGAACCAACTACACAATCCAAATATCGTAGGACACTCACTAGCATCAATAACAGTCACTGTCAGTTATGCAAGGCCGGCCACCCTGTAGGCACTGTGTGAGGTGGAAACATGTAAGAGAAGGTGAGCGCTGTCACTGAGGTTGTCATCCAGTGGACTGGCATTTCTGCCCTCTGGCTAAGTCATGTCCCCATGTCACTAACCTCACCCAGGGTAGAGATGAGGGTCAGCATGAGATGAGGTTGGAGTTCAGACAGCATGCGATCACCCAAACGGATGAAGGCAAGAAGCCGAGCCTGAAAATGGTTAGAGGTGGGCCGGACGTGAGGTGGGGGATGGGAGAAGTCTTAGCTAGAAGTGATCAGAGGGGACACACACTGGTGTGTGAGTCAAGGGTCACAGTCGTCAGCCCTCTAAGACTCAGCCAATCCGAAAACCAAGTCCTACAGTGTTTTTTAACTTGTACTCTGTCCGTCTTTGATTTTTCTTTTTTCTTTTAACAGAATTGATAGAAAAATGTCTGGAGGCCAGAGTGGCTATGAACTTAGTGAAGCCAAAGCCATTCTAACCGAACTGAAATCTATCAGAAAGGCTATCAGCTCAGGAGAAAAAGAAAAACAAGACCTGATGCAGGTATGCCGTGGGACATTTTATTAGTCTGCCAGCTCCCCTCAGGGGCCCCAGAAACGCGCCTGGAGATGGGAGATCAGAGTCTGGGTGGCCCTTTACCGCACCCATGAAATTCATACCGAATTTGGTCCCATAAGAGGCTGTTACAGGCCCCAGGGCAACAGCCCACCTTGGAAGAAACAGCTTGGTGCCAAGGTTCTGATGTGCTGGTGTGAAGGCAGGTGTTGGATGCCCCCTGAGATGGGATGCTGGACCCCAGAGTCCGTATGAGGAGATTCATATCTGGGCATAGCCTGCAGCTCACTGAGAACTTCATGGGCAGCCCAGATGGGCAGGGTCATCTAAAGCAGTGATCCCAGCCCCAGGGACATAAAGGCATGTCACCTGTCATCAGGAAATAGAAGATATGCCTTGAAGAGTGCAGGAGAGTATGTGAGTTGCTGAGAAAAGCTCTTCCCCACCCCAGGAGATTCCCAGATGCGAGCTGGTGTGGGCTGGGGAGTCTGTGTAGCCACCCAGGAAAGCTGCTGATGGCAGCGGGTCCCCTTCTTACCCCTGTATAGTTCTCAGCTTACAGTTTTCACTCTCAATGTCCCAGCCTTGTGTGTAGAAAGAACAACCATCCAGTGATTAATATTCTGCATTTTTTTATATCTATGTTTAGCACATACAGTCAAGTTTTCTTTTAAGAGTTATCCCTTCCTCTTCTTCCCTTCCCTCCATCCCGTCATTATCACAAGTGCTGAGAATCCTTTGTAGGTCAGATATTTGGAGTTCAGAGTAAAGATTTAGTCTGTGTCGTTGGGACACAGATGTTAGAGCTATAGTGATGTTTGCATTCTTAATAGAATCTGTAAGTACCATACTCAACCTACTTCATGTCCATTTTCAAAACCCTAGTTGAATATAGGTAAATATTCTTGAACCCCTCTAATTTTGCACTTGGGGAATTTTGAAATAACTTGCAAGAAGAGGTTGAATTTTTAAAAATGTTAATAATAGCAAATACTTGTAAGTCTTGATTGCACGGGGCCACCTTCAGGGTGCCTTCTGCCCACCGTTCAGAGAAATAGTTCATTTAATTCTCTCATCACCCTCAATCTATAGACAAGGAGATTGCAGTATAGCAAAGTTAAGTAACTTACTTAAAAGTCCCACACCTGGAAAGTGGCAGGCTGAGGGATCAAACCCAAACCATCTTGCTCCAGAATATGGGGTTCTAGCATATATGTAACACATACAAAACTTTACTTCGATATGTTTTGATTTGTTCCACACAGTCCTGCTGATTTATGTCAGTAACTCCCAAAATGCACGTGATAGGTCCTTTGATAAAAGTTAATGGCACTTCAACAAATTTACATTGGAACTTTTAAATTCAGCACTTTCAGGTCATCTTTGATGGCTTCCTTAACTTTAGATTTATACCCAGGCCAGATTAAATTAAAAAATTAGATTGCTTTTCAATTACTGAAGCATAAAAAATGATATAGACATCAGCCATAGAGCTGAGAGGGACATTAGGTATCTTCTGTGACTTTCAAACCTCTGTGACCACCACCAACAGTTAGAAATACATTTTACATCAAAACCCAGGAACACATAAATGTCTTTACCTGTAGATTCACACACACAACAAATTTCACAGAAATACGCCTGCTCTCAGTACTAATAATACACCCTGATTTTATTTTCTAGTCTCTTCTACTCCATTGAAAACCATACTAGTCATGACCTACTAAACTGAAGGCTCTGTCTTCACCAGATTTGAAGAATACTGATCTTTCCACTATATGGCTGAAAAAATGCAAAACAACTCACCCAAAGTCACTCAAAGATCTTTGCTCTTTTCTGTACTTATACATTTTGTATACATACCACTTTGAAAAAAGAAAATAAAGGTTAGGTAAAAACAAATACCAGATCTCTGATATTTCTGATTCCATATCACGAAAATTTTAAGTATCAGGATTAAATTCTGGCTCTTCTGAAAGTTGACAGTAATGAATTTCTTACCATTTTTATTAGTGTTTTTCAAAGACGGTTTTTGGTAACAGTTAAGATATAAGATTTTTTCCTTTTAATTCTTATTCTCCTGCTCACATCCTCCGTCTGCAGTGAATTTGGTTAAGCCTGGGTGCTGACACCAAGCACATTCACTTTTGAGTTTTCACTTTACAGAACCAAACATAATCATCATAGGCAGCGCCATGCATCTACCATACAGACAGGCTTGGATTGACTGACAGTACCATGACTTCTGGGCCTCAATTACTAATCTCTGGTACTAATATGAGCTAAATAGTCTCTTGGGCCCATCCAAATGTAAAATGGCATAATTGTAGAAGTCTTCTAAGTAGAAAGTTCCTTGCTATATCTACAATGAGATGGCATTATAGGTTTTCCATGTTTCTGTAATTCCTACTGCGTAAAGTGAGTAGCTCTAATTAAAATAGACTTCTTTTAAATGGAATTTTCAAAATAAATGCATGTGTTAAGTATAACGATACCATTACTCACAGGGTGAATAATTTCCAGGCTGTCTTGGGAAAGGTAAGACAGTCTGGTTAATAGGATCTCACATACTTCTAGAGTCACATGTGTGTACATGCAAAATTATATCCCACTCTTATTTTTTCAGTAATTTAAAGTGGTAAGTACCTCCTAAAATAAAGTAATTGTTTTTTCCATGGAGATTATTAGCTCTTTCAATTCAGTTTTACCTGGTGGGGAAGTTGTGCGCTCCTAAATGTTAAGCTCTATGAAGTGCTTTGTATTTCCTGAACAGAGTCTTGCTGAGCTGCAGGAGAGGTTTCATTCGGATCAGAGCATTGGCAGATCTGAGCCAGACTTGCGATCCAGTCCTGTGAACTGTCATTTATCTCTGTCCAGACAGACCCTTGATGCCGGGTCACAGACAAGCATTTCCGGAGATGTAAGTTACTCGTGCAACATGTTGGGCCCCAGCACGGGCCTCGATGGGCCTTATTACAACATGGGTGGCAGATAAAACAGGAGCAGATAGGCGGTTCGAACTCCCGCTGTGTGCATTCGGAATTTCACACTCATGAAATTGGTTTTAAAACTCTTAGCCTTATCTTTATAGTCTAGGTGCCAAGTGTATCAGGATTTGTCCCTATGAGTAGCTTTGTTCTTTCTCATACTGTATTTATTTAGAGACATGATTGAAAGGCTAGAAACACATGGGAATTTAAGCTTTTCCTATTAAGTTTAGAGTCTTGGAAATTTAGGTCCTTTCAAATACACCTTAAAGCTGATGAGAAACATAAGATATGCCTTTAAAAACTAACAAAAAACTTGTTTTTGCAAATCCGAAGTTGATTGTACTAAAATGTTTGATTTGTGGTTTATACCCAGCATTAGAAAATATTTAAAGTGGCTAGAATATCATTAACTACTTTGTGCTTGCTCGTTTGAGATGCCATTAGCAGAGGTTAAGTTTTCAATAAGTTCCCAGTTATTTTCCTCTCACACTGCTTGGAATTCTGTTCTGTGAAGGTAGAATAGGTAGAGATCAACTGGTACTTACCTGTTTGAAAAAGCATTTTTCTGGAGTTATTTAGTTTATATTTTATACATTTGAAAGCTAAATGATGGAAATTTTGGCTCATAGAGATGAGGAAATTAGTTCCAGTCCATAAATTTTATTGACCTGTACACTCTTCATAAACTCTTAGACACTAGAAACATTTACTTGATATTTTTACCTTGAATTTAATGTGTGGAGAAAACGATGTTGAAAAACAGCCAAGTTTGAGTTAAAAAGAAATGTTTTGCCCTTACTGCAACTATAATGGAAGTGCATTTTTAAACTGGTGTTCCCAATTTCGGTACCATCTTCTTTCACTTTTCTATTACTTGTACTTCCTAGAAACAAAAGCAGTTTACCTTCATTCATTTGCAGAGTTAATTGACTTTTTCCCTTTTGTTTTTTTCTAGATCGGAGTGAGAAGTAGATCAAATTTAGCTGAGAAGGTCAGACTGAGCCTACAGTATGAAGAAGCCAAGAGAAGGTAACAGCAGGGGAGCTGTTTGGGGTTAAGGAACCAGCGGGCTCCGTGTTTTCCTTCCCAGAATTAATCTTTGCTTCTACAGTGACATCTGCTGGACGCTCCCCACACACCTTCCCCTCGGTCTCCGGTTTGTGCATGTGAGGGTCACCGAGGCCCCTCTCTGCCTGCTGTCTTTTCCTTCCCCCTCCCCACAAAGCTGAAGAACAGAGAGAATTAGTGAGAAGTGTGAGGGGGACATGCCCCTCTCTTCCAGAAGAAGGAAGCTTTGAGCTTGTGCAATACTTAAAATTAAAAGTGAGAAGACGGCTTCTTAGGCAGAAACATGGTCAGTGGCTTGGGTACAGGACTTGGCAGTGGTTGAGGGGGTTCTACTGTAAATCGCTTTAAGCGTGTTTCATGGCATTGCAGGGAAGACCTGCTGGCGATGATGCCCTTGAGCAGGTGAGGTGTCCGTCCCAGTGACTCCCTTCAGGAGGAAGGGAGAGAGATTCTCACTAACCCCCGTGCTGGCCTTGTCTTACGTTGTGACTCTCCTTGGGTGAGGCCATCGTCATCCTGATCCCATGCACAGAACCAGCTCATTTTCATAATATGGACACACCTGGCTTATTTTGAGGAAGAAGATCCTACTGATAGATTTGATCTCATTACTTCCTTTTAAGAGTGTAAAAAAGGCCACTAGGGGAGGGAGACTTGCATTATCACCCTACAAGGGGCAGAGAAATTTATCATGTTCCTCCTCATGAATAAAAGCTCAGCTGAGAACCTGCTAGAATGTCAGGTCTTCCTGCCCTAACGAAGACCATCAGATAGATATTGAAGTCTAAGTCTTCCCATTATTGTTGGTGATAATGATTTAAGGGTAATTGGCCGAAGTTCTTAGAGGTTATGTTATCCTGCTTCAACAAAGTAATTATTTGATCTGCCTAAATAAACTGTTTGCCTGTTACTAATATTAGGCAGTTCTCTGATTTCTGAGAGAACCCTAAGTTTTGTTGCACAAATGATTAACCATGTGGCATGAGCAAGTCACTTAGTCTTTCTGAACATTTTATTTGCTTAATTTTAATGCCTATAAATTCTCTCAGGTAGATTATCAACTTTTTGAGGTCAGGAAAAATTTTGTATACTTTTTTGTCAGCTTTCAGTGCCTAGGCTAGTGCCAAGGATAGAGGACTGCTTCGTGGCTTTGTGGCCCAGTGACGCGGAAGCCGTGGTGGTGCCGTCTGTGGCCTTCCAGCTGTGACTGCACCAACCCTTTGGCAGCCAGAGTCCTGGGTTCCCTGGGGCTCGACTCGTCTCCCCTTAGGTCAGCTTGAGTCTTTGCTTTACTTTGGCAACGTTCATTCCAACTGCAAATGTTCCCAGAAGTCTTCACATTTTGTTCCCCAGATTTGGGTACACAGTTTCCAAATAAAGTTCAAGACCCACCTAGGAATGCCTGATTGACAGGAGCCTTTCTTTCCTCTGCTGCGTCATTACCCCCAGAGCAATCAGTTAATTCAATCACAGCAAAACTTAAGACCTCGGGTTATTTCCCCAATTCGTTGCATTGCTGTTCTTTTACCATTTGGGGTTTTATTTTAAAGTTACTAGTGATTCTGACAAACAGGTAACTTTCAAGCGTTAGTATGCATATGATGAAAATGCTTTTTCTTCCTTAATTCTGAATAAGTGAAGAGGTGGGTTATGTTTCTCTGAAACCTGTTCTCTCCTCCAGCCTTTGTTTTATGTGCTTAATGAAGCTAATAATTTCATGCTTATTTAGCATTTTGATGATTAATTTTCCAGCACGTTGAGACAGTTGTTTATGGCTTTATGATTAAAGCTGAAGAATAGTTGATGTTACATCGACCATTAGTGCAGACAGTGGGTGACAATCAGAAGTACGTTATATATGCAGTGCCCACTGAAGATGGCAATTTTATTTTCAACTAAAGCAAGAAACTTACAGCACAAGAATGTAAACTACTTCTGTCTTTGTCCTGATCATGTTTTCTGTTCACCTTTTTTCTTTCCTTCTACAACTTCTTCCATAAAAAAAGGAACAAAAAAAAGGACCGCCTTCCCGTCTTTCATATCCTGGGGCATGCCGTAACAACACCCAGAGATTCACCCAATGTGTTTTTTTAATAGGGATATGGAATCCTTGTGCCAATCTCAGTTGTGTTCATAGTTTACCTTGATCTTGTGCTTATGGTCAAAGTAGGCATATGCCATTTACCTTGTCCTCGTGGTGCCACAGAGTAGTTTACTCGGTTCAGGTGGAGAAAGCATTCTTATTGAATCAGGATTACCTTTACCATTTACTGTGAAGCTCTAGACATGGTGAAAGCTAAGCTCAGGCAAAATGATGAAACCGGTGACATTTCCCTTTGCTGTTTTTCCCACCTCCCTGTCCCATCCCACCCCCCTAACTTCAGCACCCATTGTCAGTCCAGTGGAGCCACTCCAGCTGCCTGTGTCCACGAATGTCCACCAGGGCCCGCGTGCCCCATACAGCCCAATGACTCTGTGCGAGGAAAGCCAGGCTGAGTGCCGTGCCTGCAGCTCTGTTCAGGGAGCGCTCAGGAGATGGTACAGACACCAGTTGTGCAGGGCACGGCTTAAGGAGATGCTGGTGGCGGAAGCTAAGCCCTGCCCTTTTCCCTGGCGTTGGGTGGTGGGGCCATGACGGATGCACTTTGACACTGACTGGCCGCTGCTCTCTGTTCTCCCTTCTCCTCCCCTGACCGGCTAATACCCTCCCTGCTGTCCAGCGCAGCCCCGGGACTCCCATTTTACTAGGGGACAGTCTTTACCAGAGGAACACTGGCGTTTCAGGCGTCCATTTACTGCAGTTTTCTTAGACGACAGCCCTGCAGGTGTCCCTCCCGTCAGCCTAGCTGGTGGCCACAGAGCCGGGCCAGCCTGTCCATGGCTCCTGGAACTCTCCATTTTTTAAGCTTCTGTGTGCTTTGACCTTCACCCTTTTATCAGATAGCTGGGGTGTGCTGACTCAGATTGTAAAGGTGGGAAAATGAAGCAGATGACAGCTAGGTGTAGAGCCGGGCCCAGGGGCTGGGACACAGGGCTGTCAGTCGTCACCCCCTGCCAAACTCCAGGCGACCACAGCCCTCGCTGGTCAGGGGCCCTGGGGAGAATCAACAGCATCTGACCCCAAACTTAGCTGGTTTTGTTTTCCCTCCTGGGAGCTCTAAGTATGCACACACCTCCTTATCTCTTTGTTTTAGTATGGCCAACCTGAAAATCGAACTATCGAAATTGGACAGTGAAGCCTGGCCTGGGGCGCTGGATGTGGAGAAGGAGAAGCTAATGCTAATCCATGAAAAAGAGGAATTTTTGAAAGAGCTTCAGTTTGTCACTCCACAAAAACGCAGCCAAGATGAACTGGAACGCCTGGAAGCCGAGCGGCAGCGGCTGGAGGAGGAGCTGCTGTCTGTGCGGGCCGCACCGAGCCGCGCGCTGGCTGACAGGTGGGTTTCCTACCCCGGGGCAGGTGAAGCCTGGCGGGGTGTCCTAGATGGGCCTGCACACCTTTCCCGGTCTCGGGGGGTCTCGGCTGCTTCTGTTCTTAGTGGCCTGAGAACCCGCACCAGAGGGCTTGCTTTCCACGGGAGGTAAACCCCCCTCCCACTCACCGCCCAGCCACCAGTGTTCAGTGTCAGCTCTTCTGTGTCTGTGAGGAACGCGAAATGTCTGTGACCCTGAATAACTAAGGGATGTCAACGTAAGACCAGGAATGCAGTACATCGTGGACCGAGTCTGATAACAATGGCTATAAACTCTTGCACTCTGATAAGAGATTATCTGGACTGTTACATGGACGGGAGCTTCCTATTCTCAGTTTTATTGCTCAGAAGAATGCAAAAGTTTATTGCTTTTCATTTGACAAGGAGAAGACAACTTGCTCCCTTTGCTATTTTAACAGGTCACAGAATGTTCACTTGTGCAGCTTGTCAGTCGAAGCCCTCCTCTGAAGCCAGTGAAAATGTAAAGGAAAATACTTTAAGCAATTTTCTGATCTTTCTTGAGGAAAGTGTAAATTGATCATTTCATGTAAAAATTCCAGTTCTGTAAGCAGATCAGCTGGACATCAGGCAGGGGAACCTGAGTGTGTGTCAGGTCACCATCCATGCATTGCACAGATCCCTGCGTCCAGGCCTTGCTGACTGATAGGATCACAGACCTGGTTCAGCCCCCGGAAGGGCAGCACCTTACTGGTCATGGGGGAGGCCAGAGGGGCCATCAGCTGGGACCAGGGCCGGAAAAGCTCTGGATTTTATATGTCAGCGTTAAACACACTAGCATCACACCGAAAACCCTTAACACGCCAGAGGAGCCTTCATGCGTTTGTGCAGTATTTAGCTTTAAAACTTGCTTCAAAAATGTTCTTCCTGTTTCAGAAGACATGGATTTTGGTAGATTTTTGTGCTTTCTCAGACCTTTATGTACTTTCCAATTCGGTTAACCTACTTTGTACTGATTTTTTTTTTCCATGTTGGGTTTTTATTTATATTTAAGGGGTTTTAGAAAATGGAGAATGTCTTTTTCAAAATACATCTTTGAAAGCTGGGAATTAAGAATTTATCACCTTTTGAAGTACTAAATAAAATGACAAGAATGCCTTTTTTTTATTTTAACATATAATGAAATTGTGTTGATGACACATCAAAGGATAGATAACCTATAAATAAAATACAGGCATGTTTCCTGACTGCCTAAAACATACATAACATTTCAAAGAGGTTAGCAATTAGGGAAATTTCCTTTTTCTTCAAAGTAACAATTTTTATATCCCCACCTTGCAGGGCAGGCTGAGGCTTTGAACAAGGAAGGTGTGTTTTGATGCCTGCAGTGCCTTGTGCAAACGTTTCTCCACTTGATCCCTTTAACAGCCTCAGCCAGCAGACGCAGTAGGGTACCAATCACCATCGTACAGATGGGAAAGCTGAGGCGCGGGATTGCGTTACTTGCCTAGGGACACACAGCTCATAAACAGCAAATCCAAGTCTAGAAACCACGGTGGTTTTCC